CGACGACATAACCCCCAAACTGGTGTTTTGTTGACAGATGACAGACGAAACTAGACCAGCTTAACAAGTGAATTCAATCAGCTGTTATCTAGTAGTACTAAAGTTCACCGCTTGAGCGCGTAAGCCTCGAGCAGGCAGGAACGAAGGATTTTACTAAAAGACAGGATTATTCGTTCATATGCCGTCTTCAAAATAAGACAGGATTATTCGTTCAAATGCCGTCTTCGAAATAACTTCGTCGTTACATCTACGCTTGCATGATAATCGACACGACTGTATAACTTTGTTACGAAAGTTAGCTAGCATACTTAATTAGGACCTTTTCATGTTTTATGTTATTTTAATTTAATGCATTTTAATCTATTATACCTTTTTGCTTTCTTTACATCCTGATTCGAATTTTCAGGAATTTTCGAATTTTCTGTGCCAAGAAAAGTACTAACAAACAAATTGGTGATTTAAAGGAGAAACTAAATAACTTTAAAGAAGAAGAGGATATAGAGACATCACTAAGTCTAGCAGCAGAAGCAGGGAATATATTGTTAGCTGAAAATGACATTCTAAAACAAACTATTCATGACTTAAGGAATTCAAAAAGCCAGCGTGAATGGGAGCTTGAAGACAAGATAAATAAACTACAACAAGAAATTTTGAGCTTAACTGAACAGAATAATATTAAGAAAATTGAAGTGACAAAGCTCATAAGCTCTATTGAAAGCAAGACGCAGAAAGACAACAGTTTTAAAGACAACCTAATACTTCAACTAGAAAAAGATAAATTGGAAGGATTGTCTAAGATTGACCTATTAACTAAGGACAAATTGGCTCTTGAGAATGATGTCAAGATGCTTAAAAGAAAACTAAATGATCTAGAATCGACCATAGAAGACTATAACGGAACTTACAGTAGAGTAAATGCAGGTGACAGAACCGACATAACAGCTTTGTGGTATATGTTGGGAGATGAAGAGATGAAGTCATGGTTTGACAGTCAACCTCACCCAGGGAATGTTTTTCTTCTACCGCCGTCCGTTAGTCAACTTATGAAGGTGGAAGATGACTCAATTACAATTCACCAAGTTTGCAGCAATCTTAACTTACACAATTATGACTACATCATATCAGTGGTAAACAATGATGGGAAACAACACAGTGGAGGTAGTCACTGGTCACTTCTGGTGTACTGCAGTTCTACAGCCAATTTTTACCACTATGATTCTGTAACTGGAGTCAACCATAATCATGCTATCCAACTCGCCTCCAAGCTTTCCCAGGGCCTCAAACTGCTCGACAATTGTCATGTTATAGAAGCGAAGTGTCTACAACAGAAGGGAGGTGTCGAGTGTGGTGTTTTTGTTATACATAACACTGAGATTGTGTGCAATATGGTTGAAAATAAGTTGTTTAAATTTAATCACAGAATGTTTAATGAAGATTTTTCCGTTAATTCATACTACAACACTATAAAAGCTTTGTTGAGGCAACAAAAGCAACACTCTACTGAGAATAACTTACCAACGAGTACTAATGATGCACATAGAACATTAAATAGCAATTTTTGTACATCCAAAAATGTCAATCAGTGGAGGGAAGTATCAAGGAAAAACAAAGTAAATACAAATGCAAAACAAACCAACACTACTGCCATGCAGGATAAACCTTTTACAACATCAAATATGTTTGATTTGCTAAGCAGTGAAGAATGTAGTTCTATGCCGGTTTCCAAACAAACAGGAGAGGATAAGATGAGTTCTACACCATCTTCATGTGTGAGACATGCTAAGGATGCAAAAGACAAAAAAACTGACAAAAGCACCAAAGTAAGTAAAACTAAGCAACAGAAGAATTCTTCATTAAAACATGTTGTACAGAATATTCAGAATGCCGAAGAAGTAAGGGTTTGTATATATGCTGACAGTCATGGGAAGAACCTACATCAAATTCTTATAAATAGTTTACCATCAAACAACAACGTACATGTTACCACATCCCCAGGGGCACCGCTTGGATATGTGTTAAAAAATACTGAAAAGTATGTTAAAGATTTGAAGAATGAAGATGTGCTTATCATTATCGCAGGCTCAAATAGTGTAGAACAAATGCTTAATGAAAATGTCGACCCAGCTGAAAGGATGCCAAGTGTTTTTCAAGAATATACGGCTTTAAATGACCACACCAACATTGCAATAGTTCCTCTGTTCCCCAGGTTTGACCTTCCGCCTCAACATATAATAAACAAGTCAGTTCGAAGAGTAAATTTCAATCTGAATACCAAAGAAGTCAACTTAGTAAACTGCAAAAGGTTTAAAAGGTTCCACTTTACCCAGCACGGTCAACACCTTAATAAACAAGGCAAACAAGTTCTCTGTGAAGAAATTTATAAAACAATTAAAAAAATTCAGGAGACCCATCCTAGTCATGCTTAACAGTCCCCAAAAGAAATTAAGGTTATTGAGGCAAATATGAAACAAGTTTTTGATGATTTTAGCCACTGTGAAGAAATAGGTTTTTCCCACTGTATATCAGGAGATCTAGATTGTAGCTGAAGCATGACTGCAGGAGTGGCAATGAAATTTAAGAAAAGATTTGGAAAGCCATCCTACAAAGACTATTGTAGTAAATGTCTGACATTTCAAAAGCCAAACAAAGGACCCTCGGTGTACAGTCTAGTTACTAAGCCTTTTTATAATTGTAAACCTACAAAGGAAGAATACAATGCTGCATTTGAAGAACTTACAGAGGATTTTAACAAGAGATCACTAAAAAGACTGATATGTTCCCCCATGGGCTGTGTGAGAGACAAAATATCCCTAGATCTCTTTGCTTTAAATATAGTTAAATTTCAGAAGAAAACTAAAGCTTTTGTCACAATAGTTGCCTACTATCAACAATCACGAAGAACTCTTTTTAATGGACTTTCTTACAGTAGTTTTCTACAGGATTTGAGAGCTGCAATAGCTAAAGAATATGAAAAGCAAACAAGTATGACTTTGACAACTTCATCAAGCATGCAAAATATAAATACTTCAGCCTCACCTCCACCAGCCAAAGCCATGCTAAGCACAGCCACCTCAACCCCCATGTCATCCTCAACTACATTAACCACTACCACTACTCCACCAGCTGCAAGTTTGTTGGTAGAGATGCTTAATAGTGACACAACACTACAAGAGCTGCATAGAGAGAACCAGTCCAATGGTGTGACCATCACAGACACAGCGCAAAAAGAGATGTTTCAGCCTCAACCAACAACCGCATCCACCAAGAGTATGAGTGTGAGTGCCGTGTCCTCAACATGTAGCAGACCTCAACCCCAGCCGATAACTCCCAACAACCCTACCATCAGCACCAGCAGCCCACCAACAGTTCCAGGTCATCTTTTATTTAGTGAAGTGATCAAGATACCGGAAGGTGTTTTAAAAAAGCAGAGCAGTGAAAGTTTAAATAATAATGTAATAGAAAGTAGCAATAGTGATAAGGACAATTATGTAATAAATCCACTTGATTCTTCTTTAAACTTACTGGACAAGACACCACAAATAAAAAGATAGGACTAATTAAAAATTCAAAATTCAAAATTTTCCACCAAAACATACAACATTTAGAATCAAGAATTGAGTAACTAGAAATAACCATAGATGAATTAAATCCAGATGTAATAATACTAACTGAGCATGATTTGAAACCAGATGAAATCACTAGGGTTAACATAAAAAATTATCAAATTAATGTATCGTTTTCAAGAAAAAATTCCTCTAAATGAAAATTTGGTTAAGGATAAGTATTTTGAATGTTGTATGATTGAGGTGAGAGTTAATGATTTCATATTTTTATTGGTTGGTTTGTATAGAACTCCAGGGTCTGTATACGAAAATATTTTTCTTGAAAAATTAGATAGTTTGTTAGGCCTTATTTTTGATAAATATGAAAGAGTAATTGTGGCTGGAGACATTAATATTAACGTTCTTAAGTTTTCCAAGGACTATCAGATATTCAATAATATTTTAAATGAATATAATATGCATTATTTGATATTTGATAGACTTTCCTACTAGAATAACATTAGAGGGTGAAAGTGGTATTGATAATATATTTACTACAATTCCTAAAAACAATCTTTTAGTATCAGGCCTGATCACTGAGCTCTCTGATCATGACACTCAATTTTTGGAAATTCGGGACATCTCTTCTAAACAAAAGTTTAACAAACCTACTATTAAATCTAGTAGAAAATTCCTTCCTGAAAATATAAACAAATTCAAAAATTATCTTGCACAGGAAACATGGACTGATTTATATTTAGCGACTGTAGAGGAAAAATATGATGTATTTTTTAATATCCTTATGTTTTATTTTGATAGTTGCTTTCCTAAGTTAAAGTCTCGTGCCTGTTCAAAATCAAAAAATTGGATAACTCCGGAACTTAAGTTAGCTAAAGATGAAATAATACTATTAAGCTGAGAAATTAGGGTAAATAAGGATAAGTTTTTAATAAAAAAGCTAAAAGACCTGAAAAAAAGCTACGCAGCCCAATTGAAAGCAATATAAGAAAAACCAGTAATGTCTCAAAAACTACTTGGAAGATTATTAATAGGGAACTAAACAGAAACCGAGTACATGAAAATGAAATCCAATTAAAAATTGGCAACTTTGAATACACTGAACCCGATGATATATGTGAAATATTTAATGATCATTTTGTAAGTTTGGTGGATAGGATTGGGGACTTGTCTTCGGGAGCTCTTGGTGCAATCTCAAATCCTGCAAATTCAGTAAAATTTTATTTAAAGCCAGTTGATGAAGCTGAAGTAGACAAGATTCTTTATTCTTTTGAAAACAAGTTTACCTGTGGTTTTGATGAAATTCCTATGCCTGTTTTAAAAAGTACTAAAGATGTTTTAGCTAAACCATTGGCTCATTTAATCAACTCTTCTTTCATTTCAGGAATATTTCCAAGTAAATTAAAAATATGTTTTTAAAATGACTAAAATAAAACTTACGGTAATAAAGTTGGCATAATCATTATCCTTCCTGGTGGTAGGCGATGGTGGCTTAGTGGTCCCTGGAAAAGCTGGGTCGTTGGCAGCCCAAGGAGGCAGAAGATGGAGTGTCCCTTCGGGTGATCCTCTCTGAGGATAGTAGTTGTTAAAGCCTCACATTTGGAACCTTTTAAACAAGTTCCAGATCTAACTAGCAATAATTTATAACTTAGACATCATTTGAATGTAATATTAGGCCTACCCAGTTTTTCAAGCAATAAATTAAAAAAAAAATTTCCACACCACTCATACAATGAACAAAAATATTGAAAAACAATTTTATTAAAATTATTTTTCTTTTAAATAGGTTTTCCATTTTTTTAAACAGTTTTTAAATGTTATAATAAGAAAATGATTGAAATAAATTAATTCAGTTGAATAAAGCTTTAAAGACATAACAATAAATAAACTCTTGAAACTTACAAATTTTAACAACGCATTCTGGCAAACATTTTCATGAAAAATTTAAGTTGACATAAAAATATATGAATTATCTGGTCCAGAAGGATAAAATACATTAATTAAACATAAAACAAATACATAAATATTACAATAAATTCTTCAAAAATCAAAAAACTCATTACTACTAAAATTCTTTGGCTGGAGGTACAATATCAGGTAAAATTAATAATAACTCGGGTTATTAGCAACCAAATTTGTTGAAATTGCTTTTAAAAGCTGTGGTATAAGTGCCCACATCTTTTAAAAGACAAAACCATGCCTAAAAAAAAACCTGAATCCAAGTAGGGAGTTGACTACCTAAAATCACTCAGTTTTCAAAAATGCGCTACATAACTAAAAACATTTAAATAACTCAACTATAATAAACTAAATTTTGAGAAACTGGCAGGGGACATGTAAAAACACTAATACTAAATAATTATGACCAAGTTTGGCCCTCAGAAGGTGCCATTACTTAACTATAAAAGAATTAGGCTGAGTAACATGGCCTACAACAATAAATAGGTAATAAAAAACACAATTATTAAATAGGTCAGAGGGACAAAATTTACATTAAACAAGTTGTAGGCCTCAATAACAACACAAAAATGAGCAAAAACTAGGCCTTAGGCTTAATAATAAGTTAACAGGGACCAAAAACAAATGGACCATAGCCCACACAAAAGTGAGTTTCAAAAGGCAGTTTTTTGGGTAATATCTGGCCTAACCAGAAAAATTTGTGGTGTGACTACACAAAAGCTTTGCCAAAGATCCAACTAAACTCTAAACAAATCCAGCCTCAGAAATGGGTCTAGTGCCTTGAAAAAAATTGGTGAAAAAAAGTAATACCAATGCACAGAAGGTACTTAATACTTGTTTTTTTGTCAGCCAAAGTCTATTCAAAGCCTGCACAACATGTAGCTGAAGGCCAAAACTACAACAGAAAAACTTTAACCTAAACAAACAAATAATCAAACAACTTAAAACTTACTCTTTTTATATTCTTGGCATACAAAACTACATGTTGACTTTTGAAAATAAAAGAATACAAAATTGATGTTAAGATTTAAACTAGGATAGATGTTTAGAGAGAAATCATCCAACTAAAATTTTTAACTTAAACTTACCTCAGATTCCAAAGCATAGTTATACTCATCTTGACATATCTCGAGCTCATTCAAAGTTTCCATTTTCAGCAGTTGAGTCGTTGTCTGGAGGAAAAAAATGTCTCACTCATGTGTAAATAAATTACTATCTATATTAATTTATTTAAGTTTTAAATGTTTTTTTTCAAGTTTTAATCTTAAATGACAAAATAAATTATAGTAGGGCCTATGTAATAAAATTAAAAAAAAAACTGATGTGCATTTAAAAAATATTAACCCTGACAACATTTTTACTATATGCTCTAACAATACACTTCTCTGTGAAGTGAGGTTAAGTTATGACATACAGCTATACTTGGTATGGTGGTATTGTAAATCTAGGTTTAAAGTAATACCTACCTAAAGTTTGAATAGAGAGTCTAAGTCATAGATTTTGCTGAAACCTTCTACATTAGTTTTAATGAGGGAAATTACTCTGTCAATATTTGGATCTTCTTTTGGTTCCTTACTGGGACCACCTCCTAAAACAACTAGAAAAATATATATTACTTAAAATATAACAGGCTAATATAAATAAATATTATCTTTCTACTTCTATTTCCATTAACTTGATACCCAACAAGAATACATTGGAAGGGTAAACTTCATTATTAGTCTTCTACTGTTGCAATGAATGTTTAAAATTGACTCAGTAACAATCATCAATGGCTAGATGTATTACCGGTACATACTTATTATATTTATAGGCTATAGACAACTGTACCTTGACCTAACTATTCAATTTTGGTAGATATACTTAACAGTATACTGCTGTATCTGTTGTCAATAACAACTGAATGAAAATATTGATCAATATATTGTTTGGTTAGTTAGGTTAGGTTAACCTAGTTAACCACATGATATATCGGGGTACAGTTTTTTAACTGGGCTATGCTAATATTGATTGAAACTATTGAATCGAAAATATTGATTAATAATAGATATTTATAAATAGCCTAGGCCTATATCTATTTATAATTTATAGGTCTACAAATATTTTAAAATAGCCACTTTGTTCAGAATTTTATGAGGATTCCAAAAATATAATAAAGGAGGTAGGTTTGTAAATAAATAAGTTATGGGCAAAAAACAGATTTCGGTACATAGTGTTTAGCTAAGAATATATAGCCTAACCATAGCTAGGAATCTGGCTGATAATTTACATCAATATCATTACCTACTTCTTCAGGATCATCAACCATCCCTTCAAAATCACTTAAATCTTTTTATAATGCACCACGTATATCACTATTTTTGATTTTTAACACTAAAACAATGATAAATGTAATAAAACACATCAGTCATCGGTGTAAGGTTAACTAAGCGTTTACAAATACACACGACAGCTGTCTGTTACAATATTTTCGGAACTAAAATGAAAAGCGTCTAGAAAAAGACATCATGAGAAAGCTTAGAATCTGCCGAAAACAATAATACCAATCTCGATCCAGTTCAATATGATTCCGCCAGTCCCAGAGCCTTCACCATAAACTATGTTTGTGTGTCGCAAAAGCAACGCATAACACCACAGTGGGTTGTTGTGCGTCGATTATGCGACGCTTAACACTCGGAGGGTTAAACTATCATAACCTAACCTAACCAACCAAACTTACAAATGGTAAAAAAATTACATGAAGGTTTACTAATCAAATCAATTGCCTAGTTTTGATTACTGTACCTTGTTAAAACAATCGAATAAAAATAGATTGATAATCTCGATCCAGTTCAATATGATTCCGCCAGTCCCAGAGCCTTCACCGTAAACTATGTTTGTGTGTCGCAAAAGCAACGCATAACACCACAGTGGGTTGTTGTGCGTTGATTATGCGACGCTTAACACTCGGAGGGTTAAACTATCATAACCTAACCTAACCAACCAAACTTACAAATGGTAAAAAAATTACATGAAGGTTTACTAATCAAATCAATTGCCTAGTTTTGATTACTGTACCTTGTTAAAACAATCGAATAAAAATAGATTGATAATCTCGATCCAGTTCAATATGATTCCGCCAGTCCCAGAGCCTTCACCGTAAACTATGTTTGTGTGTCGCAAAAGCAACGCATAACACCACAGTGGGTTGTTGTGCGTCGATTATGCGACGCTTAACACTCGGAGGGTTAAACTATCATAACCTAACCTAACCAACCAAACTTACTAATGGTAAAAAAATTACATGAAGGTTTACTAATCAAATCAATTGCCTAGTTTCGATTAATATAACATCTAGCCTAGTTAAGAAACTGTACCTTGTTGAAACAATCGAATAAAAATAGATTGATATTTTCAGTAGGTTGTTTTGACAATAAATATGGAAGTTTACCCATGTTTAACCTAACCAGTTGTACCAACATTTTATACATGAGATAGGCTTAAGCATAACTTACCTCCTGTAGCATAGGCCTATCTAGGATGGTATAGTTTGGACATAGATAAAACTTGTGTTGGTTAGTCTATGGTTTGGATATGTTTTTAAAAGTTTACAGCTGTTGTTAAAGTACTAGGGGTTGTGTATAAGTTATATGTACACAAAATATGAGTAAAAATCAGTACTCAGTAAGATAGCTCAAGTATTTCCTGAAAAAAGAAAACATAGCCTACATGTGGAAAATTGGAACTTTCAGGAAATCGTAAATAAAGTTAGGCCTATTAATAACATGCCAAAGACATTGAAAAACTTACCTTTAGAACATTCTAACAGTGGCGTCCCCATATAATTGATAATTGATTGATAGTGTTGCCAACCAATCTCCTACTATATTGGCCTACTATAAAAAACAAAATTGACAAAAATGGTACAATCGTGAAGACAGCTATCGCCAGCTGTCGACCCTACATTATTTCCCCTCCCACAACGACTTCCCTTCTTCTCCTTCTCAACCAATCAGATACCGCCTAGCTTAGAGTAGTACAGTCGATGCAAAAAAAAAAGACCTCGCAAATGAAATTTACCTACTACCATAGCTACTATGGATAATTTACAGGTTTCCAAATCAAAAATAATTCACTATACTTGTTTGTTATGTAGTATACTTAAATAATATATATATAAAGACAAAGTATACATTTAGTGGAAAACTGTATAGTTATTTACTTTTATTGCAATACACTATACATATATATTACCTAAATAATGTATAGAATCATTTCTATATAAAGCTACTGTTTAAAATATAAAAGTAACCATAAAAACTCAGCATAAATAAATGTTTATTTCAATGTTTAAATATACCCTATATTATTATATATTATTGAAATTAGTTGAGGTAGGTCTATATGTTAGCTTAAATTGTAAATATGTTATAAGAAAACTATCATTTTCCATACCGCGTACACTGAAAAAACCAGATAACTTTAGACGGAATATAAAATTATGTTCCTTATCAATTCCAAAACTTTTTATTGCTGAAATGAGTTGAGGTACATGTCGCCTTAAAGTGTACATATGTTATAAGAAAATAAAAGTGGTGGAAAATAGTTTAAAGTTCCCCTAATCCTTTACATACCGCTCACTCTGAAATAACTAGATAACTTTCGACGGATAATAAAACTAAGAAATAAGAAAATAAAAGTGGTGGAAAATTGCTTAAAGTTCCCCTAATTGTTTCCATACCACGTACGCTGAAAAGTCCAGATAACTTTCGACGGATAAAAGAATTATGTTCCTTATCAATTCCCAAATATTTTATTTCTGAAATAAGTTAAGGTATATGTAAACTAAAAGTGTGTTTAAGTATTTGCATTCCAAGCAAAAATCGTTGACAAAAAGTTAATGTCCCCGGCTGGTTTCAAACCCAGGACCTCCTAAACACCAATCTGAAATGATATTAACTATACCACGTTGAAATCAAATTGTCTCGTTACGGTAATCGTGTTGCCTCAAGAGAAGACATTAGCCACTAGAGATATGACATCACTACACCTTTAGCCTTAGTCCCTCCCGTGTGCCCATTCCCTAAACATCGTACATACACCAGGTGGCCTGCTGCCAGTCACGGGAGACATTTTTGTTTACAAATATAAATCTGTTTAAAAAACACATTTATTTGTGTTATAAATCTGTAATATTGGTGTTATTTCTTGTGTCACGGCAAACACAATGGTATTTTGAACGGAATTTTTAGCGTCTCATTAACGATATTAGCTTACATTTTAAAAATTAACAGCAGCATAAAAACTATTGCAAGTAAAAATTTAAAAATGTATGGAAATGTTAACAATAAACCTACCAATAAGTCATAAAAATTTCAGAAAGATTGGCTCATTGGTTTGTTTACAATTAAATTTTAAACTTCAGTGTTAGTGCAGAGTTTCTTAAAAACCGGTACTTTTTAGGATCTTTCAACTATATAAATTTTTCTGGTAAACGGATTTTTTTTCGTTGTTACCACATAAAATGTATTTAAACCAGTTTATATTTCATTTTTGTTTCAACAAACTTGAATAATTCATCTAAGAGATATTTAGGCTCAAACTTGAATGCACATATTTATTTCCCTGACAGTAGCCGGCCGAGCTCCTAGCAATCGTATGCCTATTTTTAATCGCTTAAAAATAATACAAGCAAACTCCATATCAAAAAAAGCTTCGATTAAAAAATAAAATTCATACTTAAATCTAAAACTTTGCCGCAGGAATTTTTTTCCTGACCAAAAAATAAAAAAGTTCCTCGCTTACTACATTTTTCATGTTTTTAGTTGTGTTAAAAAACAATTATCAGTTTTAATTTTCCTAAATAAATTATAAAAATATGTTTAGGTTAAAACAAACTATACAGTAAGAAGCACTGTCTTTCCCAGAAAATAAAAATAAAATTTTAAAATTTTTACGTTGGTAAATAAGTGAAGCAGGGCAGGTTGAGTGAAGGTATGTTTGTGTAAAAGACAGAGGTTCATTCGGCCTGTCCGCCTTGGTATCCTGCCAATTCGATTGGCGGGCACAGACCGTTTTTCCATCACACAGCGTGCTATCCAGTAGAGTATTATACATCGATGGTTAAACCTAATGTTGTTTGAATAGATTTAATTAAAATACAAATTAAACAAATGGAAATTCATGTAGTTGGTAGGTTTGCTATGGTGGAGTTATTTATATCTTCATTCTCATTGACTGGGCTAGAAACACTCAAGGCCAAACCACTTGTCACTTAGGTTTGCTATGGCGGAGTTATTTATATCTTCATTGACTGGGCTAGAAACACTCAAGGCCAAACCACTTGTCACTATGTCCTCATGACGTCATTGTTCTCTCCTAACACTCCCCCTTCATTGTTGAGAAACAATTGTATCATTGTTGCTCACTCCTTGCACTGAATCCCCCCTCCAACTATACCACTCTTCATCAACCAGACTGAAACAGCTGTATCTAAATTGTCAATACCACATCCATTGTTATTTCTCTTTTAGACCCAATAGATTTTAAGTGCTTACACTAGATTTTTTGAAATTATTTGTTTAGTAAGATTATTTGGGATATTTATTTTTTTTAACTAAGTTAGGTACCTTAAGCCTTTGTTTTTGTGAAGATTTCCCATGCCTTTCAATCACAACCTCAAAACAAGACCAAAATGCTCTTGACAATAGCTTTGTCTGGCCATTATCAAAAAGTCTTCATAAATAGTTTCTCAGGTCTGATCTCATTGTCCTATATGTTTTCTCAGTGCAGGGTCCCCCAAGGATGGTTCATTTCTCCTGTTTTATTCCTATTGTATATCAATGATCTCTACTATTAAGAAAATTACTGTCACATTTTTAGTAAAAAAATTAATCCCTCAAATATATGAAGGCTGCAAGAGAAAAATCAACATAGTGAAAACTGAAATAGATTTATTAACTCATCCTGTATCTGTATATTAATTTCCACTGTTTAGTATCTCTCCTGTAAATAACTATAATTAATTTAATACAAAAATTACATGACTGTTGGATTTTTCCCTGTATAGGAAAATCTACTAATGAAAATTTACACAGATTTCAGCAGAAATATTATACATCAATGATTAATACAAACTATTTTTACATAAAATAATTTCCATGTATAGGTATCTTTATAGTTAATATAGTAAACTAGAAATTATTTTATTCTATTACTCTTCTCATTTAATTGAGAAGGCTGAAAACAAAACTCAATCATTTTAACTCTGACCAAAAACATTATTTAACACTTTATAATCTGCTTAAACATTTAAACATCTTTTCAATTACTATATTTAGTCAAAAGTAACTTAAACAAAAAAAACTATGTTGAGAATGTTCAGGTAATTTGAATATTTTTGGTAAAATTATTAAAATTATATTGGTTTTAATAAGAAATTTACTTTGTCATAAATATAACATCAACATAATCTCAAATAATTACCTTTAATAAACCTTACTCAACAAAACTGAATCAGTGTACACTGAGCAAGCACCTTAGGCTAACTAGTTGAATTTACCGTTATAAGACAGCACTAGAAGCAGTTTGCTAGACTCTGTTAAGTTTTCCCTAGTTTTGAATTGACAATGTTGTTTCTTCCCTGGCATACTGAAAATAAAACACTAAATAACTCTTGACTCTGTTTGTTATTCCCTAAGATACTTTGTCACTATAAAATATGGACCTGAACGAGTCCATTGCCATTGATATCTCATTCTACAAAAATTTTGACTATGTTGGTTTTTCCCTTGCAGCCTTCATATTGTTAAATTCTAATATACATAGGAATATTTGATAACATGAAGATTCAATATTGAATGAGAGATATATAACCTATCATGTAACTTCTGTATATTTAACAAGTCTTAAAAACAAAATTACTATTTAAATACATACAATTCCCTATAATTTTTTAAATGTTGATAAAGTACTGCTTATGTTGCAGATTCACTGTCATAATAATGAAAAACAAAAAAAACAAAAATGTCTTCAAATGTCCAATATGTGGACAAAATTATTCAACTAGATCTACAATGAAAAATCATATATTAATACATACTAACGAGAAGCAATTTCAATGCTTGAAATGTAAACAAAAATTTTTTCGACTAAACGAAGTTAAGAGACATTTGTTGATACACTCTAGAAAGTCTCTTATATGTGGGAAATCCATTCAACTCCAAAACCATATGCAAATGAAGACCCATAAATGTAAAAAATGTAACAAATGTTTTCGTTACAAAAGTCAAATGAAAAGACATTTAATAAAACACACAAAAGAAAAAGCACATAAGTGCCTTAAATGTGGCAAGTCATTTGCTCATAACTATTCCCTAAAGAAACATACTCTTTTACATTTAGAAGAGAGTCTTTACAAATGCTCTACTTGTAAAAAAGAATTCAAAACAAAAGACAATTTGAAGAACCATTTGGTTGTACATAACAACAAAAGACTCTATGAGTGTGACTGTTGTAAAAAGATATATAAAAAAAAAAGTGACATACAAAGACACATTTTGACACACATGGGAGAAAAAACACATCAGTGCACTAAATGTGGCAAGTCATTTGCTCATAACTATTCCCTAAAGAAACATACTCTTTTACATTTAGAAGAGAGACTTTACAAATGCTCTACTTGTAAAAAAGAATTCAAAACAAAAGAAGATTTAAAGAGCCATTTGGTTGTACATAATAACAAAAGACCCTATGAGTGTGATTCTTGTAAAAAAAAATTTAAAAGAAAGTCCTGTATACGAAGACATGTTATGTCCCACATGGGAATAAAACCATATATGTGTCCTATATGTAGAAATTGCTTCACAAGATCTGAGACCGTAAAAACACATACACTTCTTCATTCAGAAGAAAGATCTTTCAAGTGCCAAGTATGT